GGAGCCGCTTCGCGGTCTGAGCCCGCGCGGGTCCGCCAAGGTGCGTCTCTAGGCTGACGCTGTCGCCTAGCGCAGAGCAAGCTGGACGCGCCACCCGCAGGGCTGGCTGCTGCCTTTATTTGCTAGGAAATACTGTTTCTCTGCGGGAGAGTCCGGGAGCGCAGACACACACACACACGCTAGCTAGCGCGCTCGCGCTTAACAACCGCATCCCCAAACCGGCAGAGCGAAGCTGCTGCGGTTCCTCTTAACCTCAGCATCGTGGGGCGAAGCAGGGCCATTGTGCATCAGGGAGAGCCTGGTGCCTGCGCTGCCACCTTGGGTACGTAACCCAGCAGACCGCTCACCCCAAAGGGTAAGCTAGTCTCTCTCCTCATAACGTGTTCGGGGTTGGTGCCTGCAGACTGGAGGGAGAGGGTGGGAGGCTGCTGGTGAGCCAGTCGGGGCGAGACTAGAGTTGAAATTTCAGGGGCATGCAGCCCGTTTAGCCTCTAGCAGCGTCGTCTAGCGGGAGCAATTACTACTCCTGGTTACTTATTCTACCCAGCCCTGGAGTTGCTCCCCCTTTCCCCCTTCCTCCTAGCCCAAGATGTACTTTGCTCCTTGGTTGCCAAGGAGACCTCCTTAAACATCAGCCTTGGGGCGTCTATTGAAAGAACTGGTTTCAATGATGCTCTTATTTATTTTGATTTTTAAAATAAAATATATACTGAGGGTCATGTGGTAATCTGGCATTCGCTAATCTGTATTCAGGCGACGGTTTCATTCAACTTCAAGAAGAGCGGTAATTGCACTATATGGAGTGTTTTAAAAAGGATTCGTCAGATGAATTTTTCAACGGATTGTGTCTTGAATCATAAATTACTCCCATTTTGGTGATCCTATAAAGAAAGCTGATTCCAATTAAAATCCTTTCTTCCCCTCTCCACATTATATTTTGCAGTTCACTCAGGCGTGACTTTTTTTTTAACATTTTTTATTGATTTATAATCATTTTACAATGTTGTGTCAAATTCAGGCGTGACTTTTTTAACATTAAAAGCAGAAGATGAATTCATTGTGGTTCCCCACAGAAGGATGATCTTCTGTTGCAAAATGACCAGAACAGGAATACATATGTGAATGCCTCATGTAAGGAGACAGCATTCCTAACATACATCTTTGCTAATATTTCTATATCCACTGCATCACTAAGTGCAATTTTCTGCACCTCTGCCCATTTCTGAAAAGATTCTGTTTTCCTTCAAGTCTCTTACTGATTTTTTGACATACATCTACTTGTAGATAGATATAAAATGTGTGCCATGGCTTAATGCAGCAGATTTTAAGCTTTTAGAGCTTATATTAAAATGTAGAAAGGAAGGAAACACAGAGAAAGCTTTATAGATCCTGTTGATTTTTTTTTTTCTGATCGATTGGATCCTTTACTGGAGCACTGGGTGCTGCCCAGTGAGGAGGTCAGTGAACCTATCTCACAGGAACCCCTAATAACTGGACTGTCAGTTTTACCTTGAGACCTCAGGTGCCTAATGGGTGGACTTGTAACAGCACTTGGAGAGATCAACAGTCCAGGAATTACACTTTGCACTAATTTCAGCACAAATGGAAATGACCTAGTAAAGACCCACTGGAATTCAGCAATTCATTTTGTTTTCCTTTGATATTTGTTCCTCTTTTCTACCTCTTATTAAGTGAGGCCAGGAAATATATCAAATTCTTTTTATTTGGATTTTAAACTGTGTCATGAAGAGTGTAATAATGTGCAGTAATAGGTAGGTAGAGGGGATTTATGCAACTGACAAGGGGCTGGGAAATGAATAACAATGATAGACATTTTACATTTCAGTTTACAAAGTACTTGTACACTTCTCTTTTAATCCCCATTACAACCTTGTGAGGCTAAAGAATTATCTTCAATTTAAAGATGAGGGACTGAGACTCAGTGCTTGCTGAAGGTCACAGAGCTAGTGAATGGCAGGGTCCTTTTGGATCCAGGTTCTTTGCTTTAAAAAAAAGTCCCGTGTCTGCATTTCCAGTGTGTGCAGGTCCAGGGGGAGACATGTGGGAGAAAAGGGGTGTGGATTGTGGCCTCTGGAATGTGGAAACCACTATAAAGGGGGCAGCTCCTACTTGTGTTGCTGGTTGTTGCCACCCTGGTTCTAAATACGTTCTCGCTTTTCAAGGAAAAAAAGAAACTTTCAGATTTTTTTTAAAAAAATGAAGTGTCTTCAATTAAAAAATCTGTAAGGACCACATTAAAAATCCTTCTGTGACCTGCCAGTTTGCAGTGAGTCCTACTGAGGTCTCATTCAATTCTAAACGATTTTTTCTCTAATAGAATACTGATATAAACAAATACATCCATCATTATGAGAGTGACTGGGAGTTTTCTGACTTTGGTATTAAAATCTCTGCAAAAAATGCTCTACATCCTTTCTTCCATAAACAGGTCCAAGTTTGTTTTTGATGGTTCCTAGGTCTCTTTCTTATACTGCAGAGAAAATAAAGGAGCATGAAGTGCTCCAAAACTTGAGGAATTTTTGAATCTAGTTAAACAAAAGCATTTATAATTTATAACTTTCTATGTTCCTGGCTTAATTTTTTTCTGGGCATAGGACTTGAAAGTATAGAAAAAGTCAGTGGAGTACCAATAAAAAGTTGGTCACAAAAGGGAACATCCTGAGCTTTTCAATGAAAAGTTCTTATTAAGGGCTTTAGGCAATTAGTTAATACCTACTACAGAATACTGAAAGATTCCAAAGGAACAAAAACATAAGTGGGAACTCAGAGGTACATTTGTTTCCAGGACCCTGGCAGAGAAAATGCTATTTACTCCTTAAATAATTTTATAATGAAACAAATATCTTTTGAGAAGCTGCCACTTTCTTGTATGTCTACTAAAACTACAGAGATGTCAATAGACTTCACAGAAGCAGACCTGGTAGTCAGAAAGAAGTGCTATTTTATTCACATCATTTCTTTTGTGGATCCAAAGAGGTCTCGTTAAAAAAGAAAAAGCTCACATTTGGACAGTGGTTTCTAGTAGTTCTCTTATTCTAAAATCACCCTTTGGAAGGCGGCTTCAGTAATAAGTAAATGCATTTCAGTTTCCAGTTCTTGGAAATGTGTTGCACCTCTAGTAAAGAGCCACACAGGTGTCAGGTAATACTAATATAGCAAAGTCCTGGCTGGGTGCTGTGGAGATATCTCTGGCCTCAAGGATTCAGACTAAACAAACGTAGTGCTCCTGGCAGCTTCTACTTTTCTAGCCCCTTGTACATGCAAGCTACTTTCCCTGTTGTCTTCACGACATCTCTATAAAGTGAGCATCTTATTTCCATTTGACAGATGAAGAATCCAAGATTATGTGAAGTTAAACTGGACCAATGAGAGAAAAGTAAACCTCAACAGCTCTCCTCACTTCACACCCACCCTTCTCTGCCAGTTTGCTGATGGAGGTTATAGACATGTACATTGTTGTGATTTTGAGGCAGTTGTCTGTTAAATGCTGCAACAGAAATTCAGGTTCCATCGAAGCACAGATACAAGAAAAAAAATACTCTGATTGTGGAGGTCAGATAAGTCCTGTGTAGGAGGAGGATTAGTGCCGGACCTTGATGACTGGGTCTGATTATAGTAAATGAAGATCCCTTAGCTGTCAAAAGATGGAAGGCTCTGCCAGACAGTCAGTTGGAATTGTGAGTTGAGAGGATAACGTACATGATCTCTGACGCTGATGAACTCATCATTGTAGCTGAAGGGATGACACAAGCTGTGGGAAGAAATATGGTCTCCAGTTGGAGTATAGCAAGAAGAAGGAACTGGGGAGGTTGGGAGGAGGTAGAGGAAGACAAGTGGGTGAAGGAGACTAAGGGGAGAGCTGCAGACAGAGGAGAATCCAGAGAGAGTGGTACTGACTCTTCTAGAAGACTGAACATAAGGGCAAAGGATAAACCAAGCATTATGCTCTCTCAGCAGAGTCTGGTATACAGTAAATACCCATTAACTACTATGGTGTGTCTGTACCCTTAGCATCCAACATCTGGCACATAATTTCTTCTCATGTTATCACTTTTTTGTAGAAAGAAAGCATATATAGATATTTTACATGAATGCAACTAGAATGGACAAGTATCTGGATTTTCAAAAATGGGAAGCAGACTGTGAAAACTAGATGAGAAAAGAACATACCAATGTAGACATTTTCTTTTAGCAGGGTCATAGACTGAGTGGTAGGGAGGCTCTTTCAGATAGAGATTTTAATGTTAAATACACCTTCGATGAAGTCTCATACCTGTGGAACAAGTGAGGAGAAATGTAAGCTGTGTGTTAGATGTTTGGAAGTCTATACTCAAACCCAGAGGGAAGCCTTCAGTGACAGATAAATGTGCTCTGCTCTTGATCCTGACTGGGTCAACTTGTTATTTGTTACCTGAGTGGAAATATGAAAAAAAATGTGACAGGTAAGTGGAGGTTAGACTTGGATTAAGTACTAGATCTGCAGTGATGAAGGTGGGGTGGGGTGACTTCCTGTTGGAATCATGGCCACAGGCTAATAGGACGAAAGGAAATAGAAAACATGGCATAGCTGGCAAGAGTCTAGCACTGAGGACGTTTGGCATGATAGGGGTTCACTTTGAAGTTAGAGGGATTTTAATTCCCATCAAGTACAAGATAAGCCAATGTGGTGATTTGCTTTTCACAGATATATTTGGCAAGTAATAGAAAGTATTATGAACAAATGGTGTTAGGAGCCCATCTTTCTTATTAAATGGGGCTTTTGGTTTTGGTGGAGGTAGACTTGGATATGTCTCTGTCAGGCAGTGTCTTACTCCCCATCCCTCCTTCCATAACTGGTTAGCATTATTTCAGAATTTCTTCCAGTTTGGGCAGTAGAGCTTGAGAATTTACACTAGAACATCTTACTTTCTCTCTTATTGGGAAGTTTTTAAAAAATTGAAGTATAGTCAGTTTATAATGTGTCAGTTTCTGACATACAGCATAGGGTTTCAGTCACATGTGGAAATACGTATATTCCTTTTCATATTCTTTTTTTGTTATAGGCTACTACAAAATATCGAACACAGTTAGTTCCTTGTGCTATATAATAGAAACTTGTTGTTTATCTATTTTATACATAATAGTTAGTATATGCAAATGTGGAACTCCCAACTTATTTCCTTTCCCCCTTAGTAATCATAAGTTTGTTTTCTATACCTGAGTCTGTTTCTGTTTTGTATGTAACTTCGTATGTGTCATTTTTTTTAGATTCCACACATAAGTGATATGTGGTATTTTTCTTTCTCTTTCTGGCTTACTTCACTTAGTATGATAGTCTCTAGTTCCATTCTTGTT